ATAATGTATCTACCATCAAGAATTTATCTCATATATTTAAATTTTAATAAAATGTTTATATATTATCTAATTATAGTATGCAGAATGTTATCTATTATCAATATAATACCTAGTATGGCTTCTAAAATTTTATTTAAAAATCCAACGTATCATATATAAGCATATATAATTATATACTAAAACTATATGTTAGATAACTAGAAAATATATGTTTAAAGTTAAAACGTTAATTATATAATTTGTTCCATGTGGGCTAGACTGCATTTCTACAATATACGGTCCAAAGGTATAAAGCAACCATTTTAAAGATGGTTACAAATAGTTGGTCCATCTAAAATCAATTGAAACTAACGGTTCAAATGTTTTCTTAATAGAATAATTATTTTTAATTTTTAAATTTTATTTATTTTTTCATATTCATGATCTCGATGTTAGAGATTACATGTCCTTAACAATTAAGTCCAAAAATCTATCTCAAAGATAGATATTTAAGAGGTGACTCATTTCTACAAGGACTCACAACAACCGTGTCCATTAAACATTATATTCAATTAAACATAAATATTTTCTATTTATGTAATATACATTTTAAACTTTAATATATATCCAATATACATTTTAAACTTTAATATATATCCAATATACCTAATTGTCTAGCTAAATGTAAATAATCAAATATATGAAAAAAATCTCTAGTTTTAAACAACTCATCTAAAATATAATTTTTTCTGCATGTATTAAATTATCTAAAAAAATTGACTCCAAATCAGATTATATGATGAAAAGAAAACGTTATAAACCAGAAATTATATATTGGAAAATGTTTATATAATAGTTTTTTTTTTTGGTGAGTAAGTTTATATAAGGTTGACACGTTAAATTGTAGAATTAAGGTTTACGTAAAAAACTCCATCAGAAAATGCTATTTTGATGTTAGAAAACTATTGATCGATGAACTTGACATCAAGATGAATGGATGTAGCGAAAACAAAGGATTTCAAGTTTTAAAAATAGTGTATCTTGCAACAAATTATTTGCAACATACATTTTCAAGATTTTCGTAGGTTTATAAATCTGTTTGATTTGAACCCTTGTTGGAGTTTGAAATTTTATAATTACATATGAAAGTTGATTCTCGAGCCATTCTAAAAATTCTCAGACTCTAAAATTGCATCTTATGACAAAATTTGAAAGTGCGCCTTACTTTGATGGTTTAAGGTTGCAATGTTATCCAAATATCACCCTTTTATATTATATTAAATAAGGGAAATGATCTAATGTAATGGTTGTATAGTAAAAACCATATTTTTAACATTTGTATGACCCCAAATTTTGCACACACATTCTCTTAATCCTCATAATCAGTTCTACGAAGAAAAAAAATTCAATTTGCACCTTAGATATGGTCAAAATTAGTACTCATCCAACAATGAATCTCGACCATCCATTTGGTGAATTTCAAGATTTAAGCCTTACCAATTCAAAATCACTTTTTTTCTTTTTTAGCATTATTAATCTAATGATGATACGCTATATAAAAATTTTGAGAATAAATCCTTCCGAGACCTATATCTAACCATTTTAATAAAATGGACGACTTATATTAATTGGGCTAGAATGAAAAGTTTCTAGAGCATTTTTTCAAAATTTCCTTTTTTGTGATTGTTCTTCAGAATGAAAAGAATGTACATTTAAAAATTCGTGTCAAACTTATGTCTCTAAAATGGTTTTTGAAGATGGTTGTATTATACTACTATACAAACATTGTATGAAATCATTCGCCAATAAATAATCCTTCCTAACACAATCTACAACAAGAAAACATGACATAATATATTACAAAAATGTTTGGATTTTCTTGAATTTTAAAGAAACCCCAAAAAAGCAACATAAATAAACAAATACAATTATTGTTGAAAAAATTCGCCTAACACTTTTATATTATATTAAATAATCCCTTCCTAACGCAAGCTACAAGAAGAAAAACAAAACAAGAAATATACTACAAAAATGTTTGGAATTTCTTGAATTTGAAAGAAACCCCAAAACAGCAACATAAATAAACAAATACAACTATTGTTGAAAAAATTCGCCTACCTAGTTAGATTGATCCGCAACCATTTTGAATCCAAATCCTTAAAGGAAATCTTGATTATAGATAAAAAAAACTATCAGATCATGGACATATGCTACATTGAGAAAAATCCTGAGATTTTCAATCTTCAATCTCTTCAAAACACATAGATTAGATCTGAGAAAGTTTGATGAAGTCAAATGAGACAAATTTGGGGTTATTTAACTGGATATTCAAGAACTTGAAAGATTGGCGCATTGAGTTTGTTTTGGCTTATGGAGCTGCTGACTTTTGTTAAAAAATACTCCAAAAACCAGTCACCCAAGGCTTGGATATGGTTGTTTTTTTATCGGATTGATTACATATATAAAAAAGGTTCAATTATTTAGGCAAAAGGCCAATTTCGCAGAGTTTTGAGCATTGAGCCAGGGAATTATCGGTTATGCAACAGTGAATTGTCGGTTCCTAAGAGTAAATCAGCAAGTCCTATCTAGACCTGGCCAGTTCCCAATATATCCAGGGAAAGGGTTCGTTCTAGAACGATTCCTAGACGCAATTCCAATCCGACCCAGCATCTTTAAAACATTGCACCAAACAAACTATAATCCAGACCAAGCCAAGGAGTGGGACCTTCACTTATCACTTTAGCCGCCCATCTTTCTAAGTTGCATGGAATAGATCCATAAATTTATTCAACAAATCCAGAGCAGATATACAACAAGAAAAGCAAAACAGACACCCCCACCAATAATAATCTCAATGTCATCCTCAACAAGATCAGAGAAGAATAACAAGAAAAGAATACATCTATTCATCTGCTAGTCTATTCTTAGTCAAGAGGCAAAAGATGACCAAAATAACCCAGTCTGAATCCATGATCAAGGAAGATGAAGAAAAACAAATAGAAATCACTGCTATAGACTTCAGAATTCCACAACGCCCCGGAAAACTGCACGCCAATGGTGAGCCACTTCTGACTCACCATAACCCGACCCATCCCTACAAAAGAAATCTATAGAATTCACAAACACAAAGTATTACTTCAAACATATGGCATTTCACAAGCCAAACCCAATGTAATCTCAAACTTCAGCTTCGAGCATCAAGAACCATGGACTGCAACAGAATTGGGAGGCTTAGTAATTGCAGAGATAATCCCAGTATACGTAACAATACCCACAAGCATATCCTCACTCTCCGGATGTGTGACCCAAACATGTGTCGCCCTGTGTGACAACATCTGGGCCATGACAGCCGCCAGAGAGCTTGTAGACCTACATGTCAAAGGTGTTGTCCTACCCCTATACATGCCGGCGCCACCATTCGGGCTAACTTGACCTTCTTCGGTGTTAAAGAAACCAACATTCTTACTGCTAAATTTTCTAGGCTTCGTCCCGGGAGACTCATTCGGTGACACTGGAGCAGAGGTAGGAATTATAGGGGGGAGGCAAGAGGCTTCAATACCCGAAACAAATTGGCCTGCATTAAGGTTGGCCAGGGCCCAAGCTGCTGACAGATAATCACACTTGCAAAGTTTGTAAGCAGAAATCTCACCAACAATTCGGAGAGAGCCGTCAAGGAGGGGCTCCACAATCGCGACGGCGGAGGGATCTAGGGCAGGCTCAGAGGCAGCCATTATAGCAGGGGAAGAGGCATCGAGGTGGGGGAAGGAAGGGGAGAGGACACCGAGAGTCGATATTGGGCAGAGGGGGAGGGGGGCAAGGGCACCGAGGCAATCAATGACAAAGCGTACGACGTCTTCGCGAGAGAGGACACACCAGTTGTTTCCACTACCAGTATTGCTGTTGCTGCTGGTGCTAGGGCTGGTGGGGCTATTGTCCCAGTTGGAGGGAGACTTGGGGTTATTGAGCCATTTGCCATTGTAGAGGATGGAGAAGCGCTTGCTCATGCCCTTCCATGCCACACTGCGAGGTACAAGAAGGCGTCGCACTCCTTGCTTCATCATCTCGAGCGCGTCTATAAGTCTGGATCGGACAATTATCAGAACACAATTTTACTTGGAGTGCTTGAGAATTAGAGAGTTCTGTGTTTTAGAAGGTAAAAAGAAATAAGAAAAAAATACTGTAGAGTACAGACCCAGTAAGACTTCAAAGTGAAATGAAAAACATACAATGAAAGGAATAAAAAACATTTGCAAAACACAATAGATGCTGCAATCCCAGAGTTATACTAAAATTACACGAAAAGTTCTTCATAGCTAGAAATTCCAAAAATCTAGAGTCAAGCTTCATTTATTCACCAAAAGATAGAAGAGTCGAGCTTTATCTCACATAGAATTTGACTAGATTTTAATATGCATCTCAAGAAAACCCAGGAACCTTGTGACTATTCTAGGACAGCACAGGAGTAAAAGGATGTTTGCATCATTTTCATAGAAAAACTAGGTTGATTCCCATCCATTTACACCATATATAGATTCTATATCAAAAGTCAGATATATCATCACATGAAATTCTTACTAAGAGATTAATCATCAACGTACAGATTAATCCTTTCAACACATACATTTACAGAAACTCACCATTTATGTTTTCTATATAGGCCAGCTCTAGCCCTAGCCTGGCCCTGGTCCCTAAAAGGCTGGCCCAAGCCCAGCCCGGCCCTGACCAGGCCGAAGCTGGAGAAGCCTTGGCCCAGCCTTACCCAAGCCCGGCCTTGGCCAAGTCTTGGCCCGGCCTACCCTGGGGCCATGGTAGCTTGGCCTGGCCCTGCCCTCAGGCCACAATTTGTGGCCCAGGCCCTAGTTTTACAGGGCGAGGCCAGGCCACCCGGCACAATCAGAAGCTACAGTAGCCATTAGCACAAGGAGACCTAAATCCAATTATTGCAATCACATACCCCAAAACATGGAGCACGACAAGTTAATGATGGGTGTCCATTAAAATAGGTAGAGAGTTCAGACCATAAAGAACACCAGATCTAAAATAAAACTCAGTAATCAGGACATGGATACATTCAAGAATGACAAAATAACAAGGTCAGAGCCAAAACCATCCTCAAAAAGAAAACAGAGAAGACAAATAAATAAATAAAAACCAAAGCCAGTACCAAATGCCAATTTCAGGAGAACCAATGTAATGAAAATTGGATTTAGAACTAGTATAAGCACTAAATATTTTCACATGATCAAAGCATAAAAGCCTCTACTTTGAAATATAAACCATCCCAAATGATAGTATCAAAACACTAATCTAAAGCATCGAATATCCGAAACCTATCATCTAAAACATGACAGTTAATCACAGCACATCAAAACCTGTGATAACAGAAACAGATTAAGAATCACAGTAACAGAACCATGTCCAAAACCAACAAAAAAAATTGATAAGAAAAATCAGCGTCAAAACAACTGGAAAATTGATCGCTCAGAAAAAGAAAAAGAGAAATACTTATTTAGAACCCATAAAAATTAATTCGGAAGAAGAAAAAGAACATTAACTATTGAAGAGAAGAATCAGAATATCAAAAGGGGAACAAGTGTCACTAAAAGGAGGACAAGACCCATGTTCCCAAAGAGAGAGAGAAAGAGAGAGAGAGAGAGAGAGAGAGAGAGAGAGAGAGAGAGAGANAATACATACAGTAACGAAACGAAACGAAAGTAAACGAACACAATATAACTAAGTAAGTAAGTAAACGAAACCGAACCGAACGAACAAACG